ACGACTAAGCGATTAACCACAGCACAATGTGGATAGCCAGAGGGTATGAGAAAAGTATTAAGACATAGTGTCTTTAATAGGAATCAGACAGCATCCTTCACACCTTGCAGTCATTTATTTTATATATTAATATCCACTGAGTGTTAACAGATAAGGAAAACTAAGCTCATAGTGCTTCTAGTTCTTTTTTTTTTTTCATTTTGCGCTACCTGGAAATGATACTGTTCGTACAATGAGTTAATTTAAATTTATAAATATGTACAAATAGTATCATGCACTTACCTAGTTTACTCTGAGGTAAATGGGCAGGGCTGGTCATGGCCTCCTCTCGCCTGCCTGGCCACTCTGAGGAGCGCGTGTGACTCACTGGACACGCGAGTTGGGAGTTGCTGCCACGGTGGCTCTCTTACCTTTACCAAACACCAGGGTCACCTGTAGGGTTTGGCAAATGAATAAAAGGAAATAATGGATTTCTGCATTCTTTCCCGATTTCTGATCCAGTAGGTCTGGGGGGTAGCCTGAAAAGGTGCACTTCTAAAGTTTCCAGGTGACACTTAGCTGCTGTTCTCGGGACACTCTTGAGACTCTCTGAAAGAGTTTAAGTAATCTGCTTACCTTGTGACAAATAATGAAGCAGCAGTAAGTTGTTTCTGCAGATGATCATGATTGTATAGTTCACAAACTCTCATTTCTGTTTCATTATCAATTACCAGGTGCAAAAGGATGTTATTCTTCAATATTCTGAGTGTGACTTAGTCCAGATAACTTCATATCATAAAATCATATAGCTGTATTATCACTGTTAACATGAATCATAAGTTTTAAAAAATAAAGCAGAAAGGTTCAAATTAATTTTTAATATTATTTTCTGGCTCTATATTTAGTTGCTTTCACTTTTAAAAGAGATCTGCAGTACCTACATTTGTCACAAGATGGCATTTAAAAGCTGCAAATTTTGGTTGAAATTTGATTTTTGAGACTATTGATGAGTTCAATGTATTTATGTTTCATATGTATTGAAACCAAAAGAAATTTGAACTATGATGTATTTTTAAAAATTTGAGTGAGATTTTGATATTTTAATATCAAAAATGCTTTCTTATTTACTTATAAAAATAAGACAGTAACAAAAATTAATGTTATTGATGACTAATTCTTTTGGAGATGGATGAACCATGAGTCTTAGTGTAATAGCATAAAAATTTTATTATACTACATCCCCCAGAAAGATTTCAAATGATTTCAAGTTAGCAAACATTTAGAAGGTCTTACTGTTCTATAATGTATAAACTCTTATTATGCAAATAGGGTTTCCCAGGTGTCTCAGTGGCATTCCTTCTGCCAATGCAAGGAATGCAGGAGAACGGGTTCGATCCCTGGGTTAGGAAGATCCCCTGGAGTAGGAAATGGCAACCCACTCCAGTATTTTTGTCTGGAGAATCTCATGGATAGAAGAACCTGGTGGGCTACTGTCCATAGGGTCAGAAGAATTGGACACAACTGAGCAACTGATTCAAGCAACTGACTGAGCAAATAGATTCAAGGGATTAGATCTGATAGACAGAGTGCCTGAAGAACTATGGACGGAGGTTCGTGACATTGTACAGGAGGCAGGGATCAAGACCATCCCCAAGGAAAAGAAATGCAAAAGGCAAAATAGTTGTCTAAGGAGGCCTTACAAATAGCTGTGAAGAGAAGAGAAGTGAAAGGCAAAGGAGAAAAGGAAAGATATACCCATTTGAATGCAGAGTTCCAAAGAATGGCAAGGAGAGATAAGAAAGCCTTCCTCAGTGATCAGTGCAAACAAATAGAGGAAAACAATAGAATGGGAAAGACTAGAGATCTCTTCAAGAAAATTAGAGATACCAAGGGAACATTTCAGGCAAAGATAGGCACAATAAAGGACAGAAATGGTATGGGCCTAACAGAAGCAGAAGATATTAAGAAGAGGTGGCAAGAATACACAGAAGAACTATACAAAAAGATCCTCATGACCCAGATAATCACGATGGTGATTATCACTCACCTAGAGCCAGACATCCTGGAATCTGAAGTCAAGTGGGCCTTAGAAAGCATCACTATGCACAAAGCTAGTGGAGGTGATGGAATTCCAGTTGAGCTATTTCAAATCCTAAAAGATGATGCTGTGAAAGTGCTGCACTCAATATGCCAGCAAGTTTGGAAAACTCATCAGTGGCCACAGGACTGGAAAAGGTCAGTTTTCATTCCAATCCCCAAAAAAGGCAATGCCAAAGAATGCTCAAACTAGTGCACAATTGCACTCATCTCACACACTAGTAAAGTTATGCTCAAAATTCTCCAAGCCAGGCTTCAACAGTACATGAACTGTGAACTTCCAGATGTTCAAGCTGGTTTTAGAAAAGGCAGAGGAACCAGAGATCAAATTGCAAACATCTGCTGGATCATCAAAAAAGCTAGAGAGTTCCAGAAAAACATCTACTTCTGCTTAATGACAGTGCCAAAGCCTTTGACTGTGTGGACCGCAACAAACTCTGGAAAATTCTTAAAGAGATGGGAATACCAGACCACCTGACCTCTTGAGAAATCTGTATGCAGGTCAGGAAGCTAGTTAGAACTGGACGTGGAACAACAGACTGGTTTTGAATAGGGAAAGGAATATGTCGAGGCTGTGTGTTGTCACCTTGCTTATTTAACTTATATGCAGAGTACATCATGAGAAACACGGGGCTGGATGAAGCACAAGCTGGAATCAAGATTGCCGGGAGAAATATCAATAACCTCAGATATGCAGATGACACCACCCTTATGGCAGAAAGCAAAGAAGAACTAAAGAGCCTCTTGATGAAGCTGAAAGAGGAGAGTGAATAAGTTGGCTTAAAACTCAGCATTCAGAAAACTAAGATCATGGCATCCAGTCCCATCACTTCATGGCAAATAGATGGGGAAACAGTGGAAACAGTGTCAGACTTTATTTTCTTGGGCTCCAAAATCACTGCAGATGGTGACTGCAGCCATGAAATTAAAAGACGCTTATTCCTTGGGAGTTATGACCAACCTAGACAGCATGTTAAAAAGTAGAGACTTTAGTTTGCCAACAAAGGTCCATCTAGTCAAAGCTATGGTTTTTCCAGTGGTAATGTATGGATGTGAGAGTTGGACTGTGAAGAAAGCTGAGCGCCGAAGAATTGATGCTTTCGAACTGTGGTGTTGGAGAAGACTCTTGAGAGTCCCTTGGACTGCAAGGAGATCCAACCAGTCCATCCTAAAGGAAATCAGTCCTGCGTGTTCATTTGAAGGACTGATGCTAAAGCTGAAACTCCAATACTTTGACCACCTGATGCAAAGAACTGACTCATTTGAAAAGACCCTGATGCTGGGAGGGATTGAAGGCAGGAGGAGAAGGGCACGACAGAAGATGAGATGGTTGGATGGCATCACTGACTCAATGGACATGACTTTGAGTAATCTCTGGTAGTTGGTGATGGCCAGGGACGTCTGGCGTGCTGGGGTCCATGCGGTAACAAAGAATCAGACACGATTGAGCGACTGAACTGAACTGAGCAACTGAGCATGCACGCATGCGCATTATGCAAATAGAAGATAGAGATGTTGCCCCCAGTGAGCTTTGAATTTAGTTGGAGAAACATGAAGAGAAATGTATATCCAATTTGAAGAGAGAACAAAATAAAAATGATCAAGTGCAGTGTTGTTTGATATAGACTGTACAATGTGAACTGAAATAACGGGCAATGAAGCAAAAATTTTAAATTGCATTTTACAAAAGCATCCTTGTATCAGTTGAAAATAGCATGTTGAATTTTTCTTTTACTGTGATTATCTATATTATTATAATTGATTCAAACCAAGAAGAAATGTTGAACCATCTGGAGAGCCTTAAGATTCAGTATTTGACATAAATATGACATTAAAAAACACTTGATTTTTTTTCTTAATTAATTGAAAAACATTTTTCAGAAGAAGGTAAAGTTTATCTGCCCATACAGATGTTAGTTTCAAACTTCTTTGATTCCTGGAGTCTGAAAAATGCATCTATTAAAAAATCAAGAGTAGGATGATGGTTACCAGGGGATGGGAGGGAGTAAAGGGAATTTGCTGTTTAATGGATATAGACTTTGAATTTTAGAAGACACACAAATTTTGGAGATATGTTTCACAACAATGTGAATATACCTAATACTACTGAACTGTGCACTTAAAAATGGTTAAATGGTGCATTTTATGTGAAGTGTCCTAGTAAAATTATGGAATTTTTAGGTTTCTATTAATCAGCAATATTCCTAGCTTTATTTTAGCCATTAAGAGCTACTCAAAAGAAATAAAAGCCCCTCAATAAGCTGTAATATATTTGGTGATAAAAGATTAACCTAGTATTAGTAGGTAACGTACTGAAAGTCCAACAGAAACCAGGCATTATGCCATTGTGCCAGACATTTTATATAAATTATTTCAATCCTCAAAACAATAATAGGAAAATGAATATTACTATCCCTATTTCTTATTTATCATTAAGGGAACTCAGTTTTATAAACATGAAGGTTCAGTACCTTGTTGAACTTTGAATTTAGTTGGAGAAACATGAAGAGACATATATATCCAATTTGAAGAGAAAACAAAATAAAAATGGTTGCCAAGGTTCCTTGGAGTTGGTGTTAAATCCAATTTTTTTCTAGCCTCAAAATCCATTTTCTGTGTATTTTACTATTCCCCTATTTTAAATAAAAAGCAGTTAAAGAATATAAAGGAACAACTAGTAATTTTGCATTCTAGTTTGGTATTTCTGCTGCCAGTAAATATTGTCTATTTCATTATAGTTATTTTGACAGAGTTAAAAGATATGTGATTTAATTTACAATAGTAGTTAATCTGGATTATGTTTTAACTTTAGAAAGAATGACCATACATTTATATATATATTTTGTTAGCTTGAGTTGTCTCTCTTTTTACTTGCTTTTAACTTTGGAAACACTAATTTCTTTTCCCTGTATATTCACGTGCAGGTTATGTGGGTATGTAATTTGTGCCGAAAACAACAAGAAATCCTCACTAAATCGGGAGCATGGTTTTATAATAGTGGATCTAATACACCACAGCAACCTGACCCAAAGGTTCTCAGAGGACTGCGGAATGAGGAGGCGCCTCAGGAGAAGAAAGCAAAACTGCTCGAGCAGGCCCAGTTCCAAGGCCCCTCAGGTGACTTATCTGTACCTGCAGTGGAGAAAAGTCGATCTCATGGGCTCACAAGACAGGATTCTATTAAAAATGGGTCAGGAGTGAAGCGCCAAATTGCCAGTGACGTAGCTTCAGACAGGTAAACATTTTGCTTAATCTTTAGGTAAATATTATTTTTAAACTTCATTCCAAACAGAAACAAAAATACACGACATGTTTAGGCAACAAATGAGTTGTCTAAATATAATGTAAATGTCCATATGTTTTATGGAAATGCTGAAAGTGATGTTAGGACTTGAGCTTTTACATGTTTGAACGGTCTTAGATTTGATGAGGGAGTGTCAGATTGTTCCAGAATAAAGAAGTGAAATGAAACAGGGAGCCTAGATAGGAGGTTATGATCCCAGGAAAGACAAATGGACATAAGAGCAATGGGAATGAAGAAGAGATGGTTTTTTAAGACACTTTGGAGAGGTTGGATTGATGGGACCAACTGGAAGAGGAATTGAGAGAATGGGGAAGATTAATCACATTTCCAAAGGTTCTACCTCAGGTTGAAGCATGAAGTGGTTTTCCAACTGATGAAAGTGTTTCATAGTCTGGTTTTTCAATTGAGTAACTCTGTTATTTACTCTTTGGCTCAGTTCTATGGGCTTCTCCATGTTCAAAGTGTTAGACTTTTAAATATAGTTTATGGGTCTTAGATTTCCTAATTTTGGAAGGAGGAGAGTGAAAAATTTTGTTGGGAAGATTATTTTTCTATACCATATTCCTCTGTTTGAACTGAAAATTTAAAAAAACGTCTAGTTTACACTATGTTTGTTATCTGAAAGTGGCAGATACATTTACATTTGAACAACTATAAAGTCATACATTTGTTGAAACACAAATCTAAGTTGTGCTTACAGGATGGTGGGTTCTGAGTGTTACTGAATGCAAGTCTGTGTGCCCCACGCAGTGAGGCCAAATGGTACCAAAGCTTCAGAGTCTGGAACAGAGAAAAATATATTGCAATGCCATGAGAGGAGACAGATGGCTCACATCCTCAGAACCCCAAAACTTTCAGCAAAGCGCATTATAGGAAAGGTGAGGGAGGGGTATAGTTAGCGTCAGATCCTTTGTTCTTGAGGTCAGGTCATGGTTGGGTCAGAATATTCCCGTGAACCTCCACCAAAACAAATGACATTCTCTGTTCTGACAAGAAAAGGCGAGGTCCCGAGACTCAGCCTTTGCTCCCTGAGGTCCAGGCCCTGGCTAAGAGAAGGGGGCTGGCTACCCTGCCCAGGAGTGTTCACATCCAGCCCCTGGTCTGTGTCCTCCCACGGGGTCCGGGCCTGGCAGATGAGGCCGGCAGTGCTCTCGGGATGGGGTCCCGAGACCCTGCGCAGCGGGCATCACTGAGGGAGCCCGCTGCCCAGGACTGCAGGCTTTTCATTTAAACTGGAGAGAACATTTGTGGCAAATACCAGTCAGATTAATTCCCAGCTCACAACAATTGCCCTTCTTTGAGAATAGCCCCAACCACAGAGGTGGACCTGAAGTAATGGTGTACAGTGTTCTTGCAACTTAACCCTGACCTCTGGCCACCTCCTAGGGGTAGACAACTGATCAAGCTGTATCAGTTTTTGAAACTTAAATGCACAGACTGAAGCTGTTACCTTAATGACAGTTATCCACATACTCAGGTGCTGAGGCCTCCATGGACTGTGACTCATGGAGACTGACCCCGCTGTTCGGTCAGGGCCTGAGCCCAGCCACTGGGCGGGCTTGGCAGGGGCTCTGGAACTTTGCAGGGCACAGTCCTTAGCCTGTCCCAGGCCACCCCAGCTCACCTGCTGGTTCCCATGCCCGAGGCCCAGGAGGACCTGGGGCAAAGGGCATAACCCACCTCTCACTGCACTTTCTGCCTAGAGGATCGCTGGGAGTCTGACTGTTGGCAGAGGGGCATCTCTAGCCACTGCTCTAAGGGTCTTGTGCTAATGGCCACATACTGGCCAGGTAAGAGTGGCATGCTAAGGACTGTCTGCCCACACTGCCCCTATTGCAATTCGAAGGCAAAGAACAAATCTCTCCTTTAAAGTTGACATCAGATTCTGCTCAGTAGGAGTTTCTTAGTAACACAGTTTGAGTTGCGGTTTGTGATGTAGATCCCCCTCCAGCCTGAGGGCACCTGCTGCTGCTGCTTAGTCACTGCAGTCGTGCCTGACTCTGAGACCCAGTGGACTGTAGCCCACCAGGCTCCTCTATACATGGGATTCTCCAGGCAAGGATACTGGAGTGGGTTGTCATTTCCATCTCCAGAGGATCTTCCTGACCAAGGGATTGGACACCCGACCCCCGCCCATTTTCACAGTGATAGCTCTTAACTGTCTTTCAGCAGAGACTGGACTTTGGCCGCTGGCCTGTGGTCTGACCCTATGTAGGATGGTGGTGCCCTCCAACCTCTGTCTGCCACCCAGTCAGTCTTCTTTGGCTGGACACCTCGCCAGGTGCCAGGAATGGAAAAGCTGACTCAAAACCCAGAATAGGGGAGTGTTAGCTGAGAACTGGAGGGTTGTGATCCTCCACGTCTGTGGGGTGGGGAAGGTGCTCAGCTGAGGCAGAAGAACCCATGCCAGGCTGGCTACCAGCTAGACCTGTCCCCTGGTGTCCATGACCCTCCAGGCTCATGGCTGTGTGGAGGCTGGCCATCTCGACTCCTCTGTTGGCTCTCAGAGCCTTGCCTGCCACTAGCAGACGTGCCCTGGAGGCGTGCCCTCAGCCCCATCACCCACGCCCCTCCTGTGTCCAGTATAGCTGAGGTGTGCTGCCGCTATTTCATGAGCACTCAATTATAACAGGTAAGGTGACCATGAGTCACTTTGCCGTTGTTCAGTTGCTAAGTCATGTCTGACTCTTTGTGACTCCATGGACTGTAGCCCACCAGGCTCCTCTGTCCATGGATTTCCTAGGCAGGAATACTGGAATGGGTTGCCGTTTCCTTCTCCAGGGCGAGGCACTTTAGAAGATGCCTAAAGCCATCATCCTGGTGTGTTGCTACATCTTGGGAAAATAATGAAATGATGGCTGTGCTGATTGTTTGAAAACTAGCAAAAGTGAAACAGACAGTGTAAATCCTATCTTGAGCAAAACAGTGGTGATTTCATGGCTGGTATGCTGTGAACACGGCTCAGTGCAAAATCTCAGGAACTCAGGAATTTTAGAGGACCATCTTAGATTGACCACCTTAAGCACACAAAAATTTAAGAACATTGCCTGTAGGGAGGTGGGAAATGATCCAGTTAGGGAAGGAATACAATATCAGATGCATTTAAGACCTTAACCTCTTAGCAATTGTATCTCAATCTTACTGGTACTTTTGGGAGACCAAGTATCATTTCTTCAGAGTTATCCCATGCAGTGGGCAAGGAGGCTGGAGATATGTATCCATAACTTTCCTTTGCTATTGGATTAAGACTATTTCTGGTGGGTATTAACTCTCTGGAACTCATTGCTCAAGCCTATTCCTGTGCCAGAGAGAACAGTCAGGCAGAATATTACAAATAGAGTTAGGAAAAAAGCATCACTATGTAGGGAACAGTGAAGGAATAAGCCAGTGTGGATTGAGACAGCAGCAGTGTCTGCTGCACAAGGACTTCACGAATCAGGAAAACTTGTGAAATGGCAAGAGTAATGGTCAAACTGTATGAACTTGGATGAAAAAAAAATAGATGAAAACCAATGGAGATAGGATTTTAAATGAATAAATGGCAATAAAATGGATAATGGAAGCAGACTCCTTCAAAAACTAGATAGCTGAATGAGATAGTTTCCTTTGGACTCTAGAAAGTTAGGTTTAGGAAGAAAAAAGAAAATACTAGAACCCTGAATCACATAATAGATTATTAAGTTTTGGAGTGCATATTGTTAGGAGTTATGGATGTTAAAAATAAATCCAACAAATTTATGAGTAATTACTTCATCATTGTAGGGAAATTAGAAGCATATCTCTAATCTTTGAAGAAGGTGGTAAAAACAAATATATTTCTTTCAATATTATCCCTTGATTCTTCTTTCACTAACGAAGTACTAGCCCAAATGAACAGTAGAATTCTGACACATTATAGGGAAGCAAGATGTAGTCGTTCTTTTTTTAATTTTTTCTTTTGCCTGGTGCCTTTGACATCTATAACTAGTAAATGCATACTTTACTGACTCAATGTATCCTGTAATTATATCCTTGCTTTCTGAACCTCATACAAATCAAACCAATAGCCCCCCTTTTTTTAATAAGAATTACTTTTAGTTAGGGAAGAAGTCAAGAGTTTAATAACAGATGTGGTAATTTTACCTAGAAAATGGAATTGGTTATAATTTGTATAAACTTTTACTTGGAAAATACTTTCTCTTCAAGAATAAGTCCCCCCTTACCAGAAGCAAGAAATAGTGTTTATTTTTTTAATGCAGGTTCTATATTAATTTATTAGGCATGTATGTGTGGACCTTTTGAATTTTTTTTCCCTAGAGCAAGGGATCAGCAAACTCTGTCGTTGGCATCAAATCTGTGCCATATGTCTTGTAAATAGTTTTGTTGGAACACAGACACATCTGTTAGTTTAGTTATTGTCTGTGGCTACTTTCAGCTAAAATTCCAGAGTTGAGCAGTTAGAAGAAACCAGTTATATGGCCTTCATAGCTTATATTATCTATGTTGCTGCTGCTGCTGCTGCTAAGCCACCTCAGTTGTGTCTGACTTTGTGCGACCCCATAGACAGCAGCCCACCAGGCTCCGCCATCCCTGGGATTCTCCAGGCAAGAACACTGGAGTGGGTTGCCATTTCCTTCTCCAATGCATGAAAGTGAAAAGGGAAAGTGAAGTCACTCAGTCATGTCTGACTCCTAGTGACCCCATGGACCACAGCCCACCAGGCTCCTCCGTCCATGGGATCTTCCAGGCAAGAGTACTGGACTAGGGTGCCATTGCCTTCTCTGATAATATCTATGACCCTTTACAAAAAAAGTTTGCCTTTTCCTGTCCTAGAGAGAGAGTGGTTAGCTCTCTTAGCAGTGTTGAAATTTCTCCGTTCTTTGCTTATTTTCTTCTGTTTCTATTTAAGTTACTTCAGGTAAGCCTGTTTCCTGGTTCCCCTTACCTCCCTC